AAGCATTTCCAGTGTGCGAGCGAGTGTTTCCTGAGCCCCAAGTTGCATAAGTGTTCGAACGTTGAAAGTCCCTACCTTCATCTGTGACCGGGGCGCGATTACGTTTTTCGGAATAACCTGATCGGAAGTTTGCTTCTTTCGCGTGGGAACAAGACTATGGTTTCTGCCGTGGTCTTGAGCAACACACTGTTGGAGACTCGGAGTAATGGGCGGTAAACCGAGAATAAGAAAGTTCAATAATTGAGGAAGTGAAAGCTTGTGATCTGTTGGTGTGGTAACGTGGAAATCTGTAGAGCTAACCGCCAACACCTCAGTCAAAGAGCGCATAGTTAGAGCCAAAACTTCGGAAATGTATAATGTGTGTTTCATTAGTTGTGTGGGCATATTACTTCCCGGTTGCCCTGGCCGCAGAAGGGGGATAACCTCGGGGTCCTCACCCGAAGCCTTTGACTAGAAAGCCTGACCTGCAAGACAACAGGACGGCACTCAGAGTCCGCAATCCATTGGGGGCCGGTGTCCGGTTCATCGGATCATACGCCCTTCGGACGAGGTCAAACGTCCAAGGTGCCCAATACACCTCGATGCCAAATAGAACCGGTGACCGTGTCAGGACCAGAAAGGTGTGAGTGGTTCGTGCGCCTCTTCTTGGTTGGTTTGGAATTAGGGTTTTAGCCATCTCCCCGAAGTGAACTGCCAGTGGTTCACCGACTTGGTTATAGCCCCAGATTTCGGCTTTTCGTCCTCTCACTTTGGTGGGAAAAACATCGCCACGGGAAGGCAGTGAGTAGGGCTTCCTCTGCAGAGACGCTTGGTCATATAGGAGCATTTCATGAGGTGCAAGGGAGGGTGACCAGCCGCAACCCAAGACGCCCACCCCGACCATACGGAGCTTTTGGTTAATTGAACCTGACAAACAAGGTAGTAGGGGGAAGTAGGGAGCCAACAATCCTCTGGGAGCCGATGACTTGCTGACCAGATCATACACCTTTCGGATGTGACCAACTATCCAGCGTACCCAAATTGCCCTTGAGCCGAGCACTTGTCGGTGAATGTGTTACGGCGGTCAATTCCAAATTGGAAACCAATTCGGTTGCGCCGAAGATTGGTGCCACCATCATTCTCTCGCACCAAATCAACAGTGAACCGAGTAGAACGCAGTGAGATCAAGGGACAAAAGAAGTCAGTGAAGAAGAACACACATGAACGAACGTGTACAAGTGGAACACTGAGTTTTCACAAGCACTGGTGAGGAAACGTTTGCAAGCAAATGACCAAGCTCGGAGAGCAGGCGAAATAGAATTCAATATGAGCTTCTTATGCCAAGTACAAGTGGGTAGCAATCAGGGTTTAGCCAACTCCCTCAGACTGACTATCAACGGTCAGTCAGGCCTTTGCCCTCCTACCGTCTCCGTCAAGATGTATTAAGTGGGATTCCCTTAGCAGAAGCCTTTTGGGGCTCTTGGTCGTCTGCGACCATTTATAGAGGATTTCAGGAAGGATGACGATTTCGGAGCCCAAAACACTCACTCCCGACAATACTGAGGCACCGGCAAATACCCGTGGATTGCATCAAAAACTCAATTTGGCAAACAAGCTCGTTTTCGGTGCTTCATTTACTAGCCAAATACTGCACTCTTTTATAGGTCACAAAATCACATGATTCAAGGAAATAGAATAGGCGTAAATAATGTCTGTGTTTGTATGCGTGTGTATGGATACCATGGATAATACAGGGGTGTATGAGACTTCAAATCATTCTGCAAATGTCATTTGTACTGTCGAATGAATCATAAACGATTTGACACTCATTTGATAACTGGCTTTATTTCACCCTAGTGTTTGTGGCTGGC